TACTATATATATATATATATATAGTTACTAGTACGTTACTACTATATTTTCTTTCTCTCTCTCTCTCTCTCTCTCTCTCTCTCTCTCTCTCTCTCTCTCTCTCTCTCTCTCTCTCTCTCTCTCTTTTTTTTTTTTTTTCTTTCTTTCTTTCCCTTTGCCTTTAAGAGGCAGAGACACAGCTTTGGCTGGGGAACACAGCTCGGCAGGTCAGGCTCTCACAAAGGGAAATCCCCCGTGTGCTGGAACCTTGCAACTCCAGAAATGGGCCATTTATGAAAGCTGAAGTACCGCTGGGGTGAGCCAAGAAGCCACTTACGATTCCAGCCAGTTGTCCCCAGTCCAGACCATTCAGAGGGAAGGGCTCTGCTCATCTCCTGCCTCCAGCTGTCCCAGTCCAGGCGGTGCAGCGTTTGCTCCGGGAAGCCACCGCGTGAGAAGAGATGACTACTCGAGAGGGCGTAGTTTCTCTGTTGTGTTGGCAAAGCAGCCCTTTCCTTAACTTTAAATATTCTTTCCCTGGATTTTTTTCTCCCCTCTCCTTTTTTTTTTAAATCGAGGTTTAGTTTACTTACAATGTTGTGTTAGTTTCTGGTGTACAGCCTAGTGATTCAGTTATATATATATATATATATGTACAATATGTATATATATATACATATTCTTTTTCATTGTAGGTTATTACAAGATATTGAATATAGTTCCCTGCGCTATACAGTAGGACCTTGTTTTTTATCTATGATATACAGTAGTTTGTATCTGCTAATTCCGAATTCCTGATGTATCCCTCTCCTCTCCTTTCCCCTTTGGTAAACATAAGGTCTATTTGAAGACAGCTTTCATACATTTAGTTTCATGCTGGTTAACTTTTAAAACTCATGATAAATGGGAGGGAGGGAAGGAGGGTGGGGTCTGGAAAAGGGTAGGAAAGGGGTGGGGGAGGGCTGGAAGAAGTGGAACGGGGTGGGGAGTGGGGTAGAAGATAAGGGCAGGCTGGTGTGGGAAGGGGAAGGTGGAGATAAAGGAATGAATAAATAAAAGACCTAATGAAAGAACAAGCAAAAAGCAGCAGGCAAATAAGCAAACCAAACGAAATACTTATCGAGCATCTATGATCTGCTTGGTGGTGTGCTAGGCACCAGGCGTATAGCAGTGAACAATGCAGCCAGGTCCCGCCCTCCACTAAATGGAATTTCTAGTCCAAGGAAGGAGGACATTAAACAAATAATTAACCAAATACTTTAACAGTTACAATTGTAATACAACTGCAACAAGGAAATCAGGACCTCCACCTAATCCAGGAGGTAAGGATGGTGTCCAACAAAAGCTGGATGTTTTTATACCATTTTCCAAATAGAAATCTAGAAGTAAATTATATGGCAATATGGTGTATGTTTTTTCCACATGAAACCCAAGCACACATCCTGCTCTGCCCCACCCTACACTCCCACACGGGAAGCTCCGTCTGGTGTCTCAGGATCAGCCTGGATGTTCTGTGGTTCATACTCCAATCTGAGAGCTCCTTCCCTCGCCTCCCAGGCTCACTGTGGGGCGCCACCTAGAGTCTGACTGAGGCATTCTCAGAGCCGTAGAGCACAATGGTGTTTTAAAAAACTAGGAGATGGGCTATTTTTAAAAAATTGAACAAATAACTAAACAATTAATTCTAAAAAATTAAAGAATGAGTGAATGAGCAAAGCAGCTGAAAAATACACAAACAAGACAAAAACTTTCATTCACTGTCCTTGGCATCCAGACTGAATTAAAAAGACTTCCAAGTTTTCTAGGAAGAATGGCTTTCTCTAGGCGCTTTCCAAGATTTGTTTTGCAAAGCTGCCAGGGAGAATTATAGACAATGAATTGGAAGTAACAAGTCTCATGGTGACATCCAAAGTGTTTTAAATCCAAACCTCAGAGCTAGAAGCTTCCAAGCAGATGCCTACAGTTAAATCACATCTGCCTTGTTCTTACTAATAACTACCTGATAACGTACCGAACAGTCTATGTTACAGAAATACCTATGGCATTAAGACACAACCAACTATTGTGATTTATGAGGTGGGCTGATATTATAGCCATTGAGGAAAAGAAAAACTGCATGAGGTTTGTCATTTTTTAAATCACCTTAAGGCAAGTTATCTAGTACTGTTACCACATTTCAATTGGCCTGGTAAGAATGATCAAATGCATTTCAAAAATGTTCTCTCATATATAAAGATAAAGATGGAACTTATCTTTCTCCCTTACACTCGGCATATCCTTTCTCTCCCAAAATACTTGACCCAAAGGAAAAAAAAATCCAGATAAGGAAATTCACGCTCATCCTCCATTCACTCATTTTATTTAAACATTTACTGGGCACCTACGGTGGTGATGTAGAGAGGAAGAAAGATTCTGCCTCAGGGTATTTATGGTCTAGATGGAGTAGGTCGATAGCAGACGCCAGGAAGGTAGATATGACCAGAGTGGGCTATTTCTAAATACTGTCTAGAAATAAGGAGAAGCACAGGGTGTTGAGAGCACTGCTAAGGGGCTCCTGACAAGTTTGGAGAGAACAGAGAAGGCATCTCTTTGGTTAGAGTGCTATGTTGTTAACTACCAACTTCCTGGAAGGCTGTTAAATACAAACATATTTGCAAACGCAGAAAAAGGAAGGTATCATATTTACTGAAAACTTTTCCATCTGAGATTTAGGGTCAAAAGAGAAAAACATCATCAAAATGAATATTGCTAGAATATAAGTTCCAGGAAGATAAAGACCAATTTGATATTCATTTTGATCTTGTCCACTCCTATAGCTCTGTCACTTTCCATAATGTCTAGCACGTTATAGGTGTTCAGTAAATTTTTTTGAAAGCTGGATGAATGCTTAGCAGAATTCCTGTTACGCAGAGTGAAAAAGAAATCAGTACGTGTATGTTTCCGTCACCCCCCAGTTTAATGCAAGTTGTTTTATTGGTATGCTTTCTTAAAAGCCTTCATTGACTTTCTGTTTTCTACTTCACTAAATTTCAATGCTTTTCCCTATTTTTAATTTGCCCAGTTCCTTCCTGTGCCTCCAAATCTGTTTCCTCCTACTCTTTAACATGAAGTGCCTTTGCCAGTCAGGTTAGTTAGTTCACAGTTCCACCAACACCATGTGTGTTCCCAGCATTCACTGTTTTGGTTTTTCTCCTCTGGATCTACTCTTCTCTCCTCTTCCTCTCCAACCCACCCCTCCCCGAGGTCTATGAAAATTCTTGCTAGTCTTCAAGAACCATTTTGAAGTCACCTTGCTTTCCCTGATTAATCCATTCTCTCTCTCTCTCTCTCTCTCTAGCTCGTTCACTCGCAATTTCAAGCTTACATAAACTCTACAGTCTGTGTCATATTAATGACTCAATTCTGTAACCCCCTTACACCTTGCACTTTTATGGATGTCAGTCTTATCTTCTCAGCTAAACTCTAAACTAACGGTTACAGTTCATGACTTATTCTTCATCTATATAAAATACCCCCTTGTCTGGGACAGAGATTCTGAACAAGGCAGTGGTGGAGATAAGCATGTGAGGAAAACCGGGTCCAAATCATGGAAAACCCTTGAAAGCCAGGTTAAAAGATTGACTTTAGCCTTTAGGTAGAAATAAGAGCATGTTCCACCATGTCAGTCAGAGGAAGGGCGGCATCCATAGATACTTCGCCGTAATTAGCCAAGTGCTTACCAATCATTCATTATAAAGAAAAATCCTGGAGAAGGAAAAACTTGGGAAATACCTCTTCTGACTTTCAACATCTTGATTTCCAGGTTTCATAGTTTTCTGAAAGTTATTATGCATGTTAGGTGAGTGGGTAACTAAATATCCTGCATTTAATTCCTCCTCTCTCTTTCATTGGAAGAAATTGAGTCTGGTGGCCTCCATGAGATTTCTAAGCAGCTGTGTTCTGCCCAAGGTGTGGATGGGATTAAAGTGGCTAATGATCTTACTCTTGACTGAACTGGGCAAAGCAGCTATCCAGAAGCATTTGGAAGAAATGACAAAAGAATAAAAAATAAAGTACTGCACTTGTGGATCTTTTGTTTAATGGACTCTTCTCTTGACAGGCAAAAATTTTACTAAGAACTTAATTAAAAAGAAATTTTAGAAACTTTGAAAGTAAATGCTCTTTGTAAAACTCCTCTTTTTATATCAAGCAATGCAAGAAACCAAGAGTTGCATCTTGGTTTGGACTTTGGACTCAGACAACTTGAATGAGCAGAAACTAAAGGAATGTATTTAGCAATTATCTGGTTTTTGCATTCAAACATTTAGGCTAAAAGAGCAATGTTTCATTTTTCTGCTGAAATGTAGGATTTCCTTGCCTGGGCTAGCTTAATAACTATGACAGGAAGGAGTCAATCCACATTATTCATGGATCTTGTGATTACAGGTTTGCCAGCTTGCTACAATTTATTTGTAGCCTTAAAATCAATTTTCATAGCACGTTTGCAGTCATTCACCAACATAGACAGAATGGCGAAAAATTTTGAGTTGCTCAATTCACACGTTCCCAGCTGAGGCTGAACAAGATGATATTCTGCCCTTTTGTGTTGGCTCCCATACAATAAAAAACTGTCCTTTTTGTGGTATATTTAGTGCCACGTTGTTGCATTTTTGTGCTTTTTGTTGGAAATTTTGCTTTTTAAAATGTTCCTTCCCCAAGTGTAATGCTGTCTAATGTTCCTAAGTGCAAGAAGGCTGTGAAGTGTCTTATGGAGAAGACATATGTGTTGGATAAGCTTTATTCAAGAATAAGTTATAGTGCTTTTGGTCAGGAGTTCCATGTTAGTGAATCAATACTATATACTAAGATACTGTTAAACAGAAACACATAAAAAACAAGGCTATGTATTGATTGGTTGACAAAAATGTTGTGCTCAAAGACCCACAGGAACCTAACCTTAAATTTCCTCTGAGAGCAATGATTTAGGATTGGCTAATTCCACGTTTGTGGTGACTTTACAACACGACTACCGTGAATAACAAGAATTAGCTGCACAGGGTTTAAAAAGCTCCATAATTCTTGATGCCCCACGATCAGGACTAAGCATTTGACAAACTATTAGTCTACACAAAATATAGTGTAGCCTCTGCTTTGATGTCAGATGGATTTGGGGTTAGAACTCAGATTATCTACCCATTAAATGAGCAACTTTACATGAATCACTTTACCATTTTCAAGGTTGCTAAGAGAATCCACTGGAATGTTGTGCACAGAGCCTAGCACAGTAAGCATATGGTAAGCCCTTGCTCCATTGTCACTATCAATGGTCCCACCTTCCTGCTCCAGAAGTACAGTCACCATTTTAATGGCTCATGAAATCATAAGGATGCAAATGACTTTCTGTGGACCATATTCTTCACTCTGCAGAAAATCCTACTTGCTTAGAATTACATGTTAAGGGCCAGATAGGAAGCTGGAAAACCAACTTCCAAATGATCTGCTTATGGTTTTAACCTATCCCCAGGCAATTTTCTATCCAAAGTATGGCCCCATAGTTACCACGGGCCAGGCACGGTCCTCAATTCTACACACACACATCTCGTTTAAGTGTAGGCAGTCAACATCCAATCACAAGCTGAGAGTCCTAAAAATTGTGCAGTCTGTCCTTCAGCTCAAATTGAAACATTATACCCCCAAATCCATACAGCGTTCACAGTGCTGCAGACTTAGGAGGGACTCCTTTGGACTATTCAACTTACCCCAGTGTTCTTTCCTCAAGCAGGAAGCGTTAGTCTTGGGCTGCAAGGAAACGCCGCCTGGCCACACCCTTGCATATTAGACAGGACTCCTCTCTGCGACCTGGTCTCTCAGATGGCCCCTGGCATGGCCACGGACAGTCACGCCCAGACAAGTCCAAGTCCACTGCTGGGTGGAGAGGTGGAAATGGACTTCAGAGTCTGCTGAGGAAGGCAGGGAGGGGCAGAAGTCCTCGTAGTGTTTTGGCCTTAAAGGGAAACATCTGAAAATGAACCACACCTTTCTCACGGAGGAAATTAGCCTCCAGTTAGCGTTTCTCCTTTACTTCCTTATTCTAAAAGAATGGATGAATCCTTTCCAGGCTTGAGTTATGTTTCCAAAGTGCCTCTTCTCTCATCGTACCTGGTAGTTGACAGGAAAGGGAAGGAAAATCCATTTCACCTTACTTGCTTTTCGGAAAGTTGCCATATCTTCACCTTTTAAAACCTTTCTTTCTTCTTCCTTACCTGCACAATGAAGTCTCATCTCTAATTTGAAGGGGAAAAAAAGAGAGATTAAGTAGACCCTGAAAATAAGGAGGAATAGCACTTACTCTCCCAGAATCTCTACTGATTGAACACTGCTGGGGATGTTAATCACGAGGGCTTATTTTCCAAAAAAATCAGAGCACATCTGGAAATTAAATAAAAAATAATAGGGTTCAAATCAACTGACGTTTCCTCAAGACAGTAAGATGCTGCCCGCAGAGGCACACAGAAACTTTGATTCTGTACTGCCAAAACATGACTTAAAAAAAAAGTATCAAAATTCACCTCAAATAGTTTGGTTTTTATTAACTGCCCTCTCTTGAGGGGCTCCACATATAGAACTGAAATCTGCCTTCTTTGTGTTTGTTTCATTTGATTTGTTTTCGTCCAGACTGAATGAATGAGTGGCCATTTCTAAGTGGTCGTTTTGACGCTGCATCATTCGGACAGCCCCAGTTACTCTGAGCCCCCAAGGAGGAGGCTATTTGCTGTGGCAGGCACGGATGTGGTGGACACACCTCTCCTGAGAAATCGTCTGATCTGGTGAGAGTCACCAAAGAGCCAAGGCCAAAATCAACTAGATTAGGCTCCCCCATGACAAGACGGAGACGTTCATTTGGAGAAGATCTTCTTTCTTAGCAAGACGGTTGTTAGACGGTACAAAGGAAGAAAAAGGAAGTGACTTCTACCTTTTCCTTGTCTGAGAAATGCAGTGATTACTCCCTGTGGTTTGGTACGGCCAGCTCGTCAGGGATCATGGGGATGGGTGGGCCAAAGGGAGGCAAACGTAGGGAAAGAGCCAAGCCTGGCCTCGGCAGCCCCCCTCCCTCCTCCCCTCCTCTTCTTTGCCATCTCTGCCCATTCTCCTGGCCCTCCAGGTACCCAGGAACCTCAAGCAAGTCACCAAATGCTCTTGGTGCCCCCACTCTCTTTGAGTAAGCTAACTTGAGTGTTATGGGTTGAATTGTGTCCTCCAAAGTTCATTTAATAAAATCCTAACGCACCCAGTACGACAGAATGTGGCCTCATTTTGGAGACAGGGTCTTCAAGGAGGTCACCACGTTACAATGGGGTCCTTAGGGCGAGCCCTAATGCACCACAACTAGTGTCCTTACGAAAAGGGGTGATCTGAAGACAGACGCACGTGGAGGGAGAACATGATGTGAACACAGAGACAACCATCACAAGCCAGGGAGAGAGACTGAGAGCAGACCTGTCCCGCACGGCCCTCAGAAGGAACCCACCCCACTGACACCCTGATTCAGACTGCTAGCCTCTAGAACCGTGAGACAACGCATCTCTGTTGTTTAAGCCAGTTTGTGGTCCTTTGTTATGTCAGCCCTAGTCATCGACTGCACAGTTCCTCTTGCTGGACATGTGGTTCCCAGAGTGACAGCCTCCAACCTGAAGGAGCCTTCCAATTCTTGTCAGAGGCTCTAAGATTTATACAGTCATTTTGTTCTTAATTTAAAGCCAAGTAAATATGCCGTGTGAGTAACACATGTAGATTGCTCAGCGACCGTCCTTTGCATTCCTTTCTGGATTTAACTCTCATCACTTTTTCTCTCTCCTCACTCTATTCTAGTTGGACTGATCTCCTCATTTCCTGGAGGGGAACCTGTTCAGTCACCTCAGAGCCTTTGCACATGCTGCTCTCCTTTCCTTAAAATACCCCCCATATGCCACGTTCTGGCCAACTGCCTCTAATCCATTAGTCTTGGCTGAGTTGCCACATCTTTGAGGAAGTCTTCCCTAAATTCGGTCAAAATTGAGGCAGATGACTTCCTATGAGACCCCAAGCATCATGTGCTCACCTCTTGTATCAGTAAACGGTCTTTGGTGATCACCTCTTTATTCGGTCACCTAGTCCATGGGACTGTGGGGCGGGGTGAGGGGGGGTGGCCTCTTCATGTTCCAGTTCTCATTCACAGCAGCAAACTCAGTGGGTATCACAAAACTCAATTTTTCATATTATAATAATGCAGCAAAAGATTTTGGTTTTGTGGATGTTCTTAAACAATAGATACAAAACTACTCTATTGGGAGACTTCACTATGTTTAATATGCAAAAAGTGGCCCTCATCCTTGAAAGTTTGAAAACCATTGCTGTAATCCAGAGGTCCCACAACAGCAGCCCTCGGGCCTAACCCAGCCAGCAGACGGGATGGTTTGGCCAGCCCGGTGCATCCAACGTCTCTGCATGTGGACACTTTCCTGGGGCTGCGCTCTCTGTAGGCACCACAGGCGCCCCACTTCCCCGGTCTGGCAGCCCCCACTTTCCTCACTAGTGTTACTTCTCTGCCCCTCTGAGGCTTTGGTTCCTAGAAAACATCCCCCCTTCCCCAGATTCTTCATCAAAATGGACTTTTCTGATATTCCCCTCCCTCAACTTACTAACCTAAGTCAAAACAAAGATCCAGTAGGTTGTCTCTCAGGGAAAACCTGTTTATCCAGAGCCGGTGAGGGGGGTTACTGGGGGTGAATGTGGGCAGGGATGTTTCCCCTGTGATCCTGCACAACGAAGCACTCAAAAGAAGGCAGACAGTTATTCCCCTAGTTTCACCTCGTCTTACAGAAAGTATACAAGGCCTGGACAAATGAATTTTGATCAAACTTTGTGTCCCTTTCTGGACCCTGCCAGAGACAGCAACAAGCAGAGAAACAGCCACATCGGGGCAACATGCGGCGGTGGATGGGGTGGAGAGGGCCACGTGGCCGCCAGTCAGAACTGTGGTTCTCTAGGAAACCGAATACTGAGTCACTGAAAGTGAAGTGTAAAATTTTATGAATTCTCTTATCTCTTTCAACAACTTCAGGCGGGAAAAGGTAGTTTCATCTTAGGATAGATCGAGATTGCTCTGGGTTCATGCTATGGGAGGTTTTAAATCAGAGAAAATTGCTTAGTCTATTTGTTTTAGAGACTCAAAAGAAAAAAAGAAAGAAAAATATATATATAAGAGAGAGAGAGAGAGAGAGAGAGAGAGAGAGAGAGAGAGAGAGAGAGAGAGAGAGAGAGAGAGAGAGAGAGAGAGAGAGAGAGAGAGAGAGAGAG